GAAAAACCCGCCACGACATCGGGCCTGCTTTGCGTGGTAATTTCGGTAATCCCGTCGCTTCTGCCGCTCCGTTTCCTCACGCTAGCCCTGGCCTGCGATCCGTGGCTGCTTGTCGTGGTTTGCCTTACGGGGAAAGCCGGAGGCTCTGGCTGCGTTTGGGGTTTTGGGGGGTTGTTTTCTTTTTAGCTCAGACTGGCTTTCGGGGATTTGCTGCTTTTCAGGGGTAAGGGCGCCGCGGGTGCACCACGACCCCCGGGGCCGCAAGCGAAGGGTGTCCCGCGGCTCCGGCCCCTTTCCCCGCCTGCCAGCGGGGCGCTGGGGGGGCTGGGGCCCGCTCCGCCTTGCACTTGCGGAGCGTAGGGACAGCAGCCTCGTCCGTACCGTTGGCGAGCTGAGGTGAGAGGCGGCTTTAAGACCACTAAGCTGAAGTCTGCCTCTCTGGGCGCAAACACAGCGTGTAATTTGCCTTCCACAGCGTTTTGGCTGTATTTTGTGCCACGCGTCCTAAGCACGTTTCACTGAAATCAGCCACCCGTGGACGCTCACCTGCTGCCGCAGTCTGGGGTTGTGTTGCTTTTTTCCATGTGCTAACACAGAATGTATCCTTTTTTTTTTAAAAAAAAAAAGATTGAAAAGGCTAAACCTATAAAATGTGGAACTTTTGGTGCTACGTCTCTGCAGCAAAGATACTTGGCTACAGGAGATTTTGGTGGAAACCTTAACATATGGTAAGCACGGATATTCTTTCAAAGCTTTTTCGCTTGATGTCGTTATGTGTCTGAACTGATGTTGCTGCATGTGGCTGGCTTTTCTGTAAAATGCTGCCAGTGCTGCACAGGACCCAACCATAAGCTCGGAATGTGCCTGTTTTGTAAAAACAATGTGAATTTTGCAAAATTCAGTGCTGTTTCACTTGCAACTTCTGTGTGCAGCTACAAAAACCCGTTAAAGCTCTGCTAGGTCCTCTTCTGAAAAGAGTCTTTTGCATGGATGCATGAGTACAAATAAGAGGTTGTGTTCAACCCAAATCTGATGTCTAGATTAAATACACATTTTTAATCTTAAATTTTTTTTTTAGGTCCCTGAATCATTTGTAGAATTGATCTGTATAGGTAAATTGGTTATCAAATACGGTTACAGGGTAAAAAAAGGGTTGTTGTTGGTTGTTGTTATTGCTGTTATTATTATAATTATTATATTTCCCTTGCCAAGGAACTGTTGGCTCCATTTTGGTAGGATAGCGAGGATGACAGGGATCAGTCACTAGTTGAAATTCAAAATAAAATTCTGAAAGATTCTTGAAGGGTGAGAATCAGCAGGACAGAACTGTGAAATCCCCAGTTTGATGCAGCCTTCACCTGAAGTTGAAGAGCAGTAGTCAGAGCTAGGTGGGGATTGGTGAATACGGTCGTTTTATTTACTTACTGAAAGTAAAGCTAACAGTACTATTTTGATCTGTAGCGTGATTCATTTTGAGCCCAGCATAAAAATTGGTTCTTAAGGGTTGCTGTGGTGAATCCCTCAACTGCCTCTACAAACAAGGAAGTCCAGAACGGAGCAAAAACTTTCAGAGCAGTCTAAAGCCGTAGACAAAGAAGGAATCGGTCAAAGACTCATGGTTCTTAATGGTGATACCCCTATTTTGTTCCCACTGTTAATCTGAGTTTATATCATTTGTGCTCAAGTTTCCTCTCATTTTTTTATGAATCCTGGGTGTCAAGGAAAATGCCGTATTATCTGTTCTTTTCTTTCTTGCCTAGGAATTTAGAAGCTCCTGAAATACCAGTGTATTCTGTGAAAGGTCATAAGGAAATCATAAACAGTATAGATGGCGTAGGTGGCTTAGGAATTGGGGAAGGTGCACCAGAAATTGTGACTGGCAGTCGAGATGGTGAGTTAGTGAACTCTGAAAGTCTTTTCCGTTATTGTGAGAAAGCAGCCTGCAAGCTTCGATGGCAGGGTGCCATCCGCCATCTGAACTAGTTACAGATCCCTTGCAACTAGTTCTTCATACACTGCCTTTTGAATCTTGTGTGGGATAAATTTTCTCTAATCCTTTTAGAAGCTGTAGATAAGCAGAAGATGCTGCTGCCCCTGAGCATGGGACAGAAGGAATACACAGCAGGATAAATGCAAAATATCAGCTAGAGAAAATATGTCCTTAACAAGTACTTTCACTTTATTTGGTTTTATTTTTTTTCAATCCGCTAAATGCAGTCTGGCTTTCTGGAATTGAATGAGATGCTCCTGTGTTTTGAATGATCAGGCTGAAAAGCAAAGGCCTTCCCTGGGCAGATGAATGCAGCGTGACAGCATATCCGTAATACAAAATCCATTGTCCTTCTTTCACAGGAACTGTGAAGGTGTGGGACCCGAGACAGAAAGATACTCCTGTCGCTAATATGGAACCCGTCCAGGGGGAGAGCAAAAGAGACTGCTGGACCGTAGCATTTGGTAATTTATCAGATTTTAACTGTTCCTCCCTCTAATATGACCGTGCTTTGGCAAGCATCAAAGTATTTCAGGATGCTATGGAACAGTTTATTTTGTATGGACTAATCAGTAGCAGGTTTTGCTTTTCAACAGCATCAAGTTTATTTGTTTTTAATGTGTTTCTCAAAAGAAGCCAATTTTGTGATGGCTGGGTTTTGGACTCAATTCTCTTACAACCTTTGGTCAATCGTTTCACAGATTATCTGTGCAAGCTTTATTTCTGTGTCCAGAATGCAAAAACGGTATATCCAGCTGCGTTGTCCTGCGGGAGCATAAGCGTTGTAGTGCACAAGGAACCAGTCGCTGTTGTAGCATAGTTCCAACTATCAAGCATTAAGGCATTAATTTAAGAGAAGATCCTTGAAGCTAAGAGCTAATTAAAGACAATGGAGATGCTTGATGTGTGCTCTGCGTTTTTCCTATGGAGAGAACAAGCTGCTTGTGTTCTACAGGAGCTGGTATTTCTGGATTAGCTCCATTTTTGCCTCTGGAGTCAGGGAGTGAGTATTACAAACTGCTAATAAGTGCATGGATTATAGTAACAAAATTGGTTATAGTTACAAAAGGAGAGGATGTTTCCTGGCAAGTTAGGTGCAACTGTAATGCACATTGCGATTGATATCTTTGTCTTCTGCTTTGACGAACGGAGAAAAAAGTGGCTTCATATTTTCTTCAGTTTTTGTTTGAACTACTGAAGCTCGAGCCAAGGCCAGGTTCATCTTGAACTACGTGCTGTGGGCTAACTTCTTTCAGACACTGATGTGCTTCCCTGATCCACTCAGCTGAGAGTTTTTGGTTCTGCATCTGTCTAGTGATGGCCATGGTAACACTCCAGGCCTCCATATGGGTCTGTGTCTGCAGAAAAGTCTTCTTGATCCACTAACATCTCATGCCTGAGGGGTTGGTTAGGGAACTGCTTTCTGCCGCAGTGCTGTCTGGGGAGCGTGGTTTGTGGCAGATGAAGATTTAGAGAAGGAATGTATTTGTATAGGTTTACAGGAACAGCGTGCAGTACTTGGTCTGTGTGGTTTAGGCAGTACTTGGCAGAGGGAATAAGAATTTTGTTCATGGCTTTTAAAAGAGGAAACAGACTGCTGCTTTTGAAGCTGTATTTTCCAAACCTTTCAGGTTTGAAAACCAGACTTTTCATTAAACCTTAATATCCCAATAGTAATATTTTTCTTGTGTAAATGTTAAGTTGAAATTGCAGGCTTAGGAGGTCTGAAATGTACAGACTAAAGAGGGTTTCTGTGTTGTGATTAATTCTTTCTCTGTGTCCAGGCAATGCTTACAACCAAGAGGAACGTGTTGTATGTGCTGGGTACGACAATGGGGACATCAAACTGTTTGACTTAAAAACCATGTCGCTACGATGGGAGACCAACATTAAGAATGGGGTAAGGAAACTATAAAAGTATTTTTCATTCCAGCTCCTGTACAGGATGGAAAAACTAAAAGGACTCTACCTACCTGAAATTTACCCAGAAGACATTGCTGCTGTGATTGTACCAAGGAGTCGTTTAAGTTCACCAAACTGTACCCCTCAAGTTCTTGGTCTGGATAGCATGGGGTATTTTTCAGTGGATTCATGTTTTCAGATAATTTTGTTATTTCCAAATTGTTGATGTTGTCACTGTAAAAATAACCAATGATTAATATGTATTTAAAAATCACAAAACCCTAATTTTTTTAGCAGTGGCTAAATTTCAAGGCTAATTTTTTTTTAAATATATTTCCAGGTTTGCAGTGTGGAGTTTGACAGAAAAGATATAAATATGAACAAGCTAGTGGCCACGTCGCTTGAGGGAAAATTTCATGTTTTTGATATGAGAACTCAGCATGCAACCAAAGGGTTTGCTTCTGTTTCAGAGAAGGTATGGGGAAACAGAGAATTTCTTAATAAGAGACAAACTTTTTGACTATGTGCTGTCCGAGTGCTACAGGTCTAAAACTCTTGTCTTCAATAGGTAGTAGATGCCCAGGTTACTGGGGCACAAGCTGTGGGGTAGCGTGGCTGGTGTGGCCCCAGGTGGCAAGCCCTGGAAGGGTCCTTGTGCATCCAGCTGCCAGCACTTACCCGGGTTTCCTCCCTTTAATAACCTGATATTTGGGCTTCTCTGGTCTTTGGGTCCTGTAGCAGTTGCGCCTCTGTGCGCTCAGCTGTGCCCGTAGTCTGGGAGTCATGATTATCAGAGGCTGTATTAAATTGTGATGAGCATGCAGATTCAAATCTTAAATATATCCCAGCCCAAAGCAAGCCCTCTGCAAATGCTTTGCATCCTGCAGTCACCAGACCTCATATGAGACACAGAAATCATTATTTTTCTGCAGAACCAAACATACTGGGATTGGGATATTGAGAGTGAGTGAAAGGATATATAGGAGAGACTTAGTGGTCTGGAGGCCGTTAAATACAGAGAATTCTTAGAACATCTCTTCTTCCACCTGTGACCACTGCATTAACTAGTTTAAGTTCTTTATAAAACAGTTGGGTAGGTGGGGGTTTGGGTTTTTTGTGAACAAAATCTGATGATAATTAGAGAAAAGGAGTTTCTGTGGGGAAGTTCTCCAGGACTGCCTAAATTAGGAAAAGCTGAGTTTCAATTTAGTATCTTTAAATTACTATTTTCCATACAACCATTCAAAGCAGATAAGATGTTGGAAGTACTTTGATTAGATAACACAGAAGTATTTACTGAATTAGTGTTTGTAATGATCTAAATATGAAAATGGAATTTCTTATTTTTCATTGACTGCGTTTAAGCTTCTCCTTCTGGATGTTTTCAGACAGATACGTATTAAGTCAGAGTACGTGTGTTGAGGTTTTTCCCTAAGTGATTTCTTTTGCTATGTGACCTTGCTGTTCCCTGGCTGAGATGTAAATTTGAATTTTAGATTTTTTTTTTTGTTGTGTTTGCATGGTGTTTGTGGTAGATTATTCCCTTCCAATAATGCTTTTAAAAGATGTCAGACATTGAAATTAACCTTGTGGTGACTGTGTCACCCAAGAGCCTGAGAATCCTGCAGTTCTAGAGCAGTTCCTCAAGACATGCTTATGCAGCTGCTTTACCTCTCTTTAACCTTGCTCATGTGGTGGCCAGTCCTGAAGAAGGTGAAGTACTCGTGAGTGGTAGCCTTGGTAGAGCTGCTGCCTCATCCCTGTGGAAGAATGGGGGGTGTTGGGGGCCTGACTTGGCTTCTCCTGTGTGGGAACCGGCCGCTTCTGTGGCAGCAGGTTGCAAGGCTGGAGGAAGGGAAGGTACCTCAGAACGGACATTCCAGTATCCACCATGAGAAGGCTGGGTTCTCTTCATACAAGTGATTGCTGTTTAAGATTCTATGTCCTTTCTTGTGAAGCTGAGCCGTAACTGACTTCTATACCGTGCTGATTATTTTTTTATTGTGATTATTAGGCGCAAAAATCTACCATATGGCAGGTTCGGCACCTACCACAGAACAGAGATATATTTATGACAAGTGGAGGAGCTGGCAGCCTTCATCTGTGGAAATAGTAAGTGATTGCTCTCCAGCCTGCAACAGGGGGAATAAGAAACGAACCATTTATTGTTTTAAGAAAGAATCTTCCTGAAAATGATGAGTGGGGTCTTGCTTCCAACCTCAGAATATCTAGTTAAAATTACTGCTTATAAATGCAGTAGGAAAGGGTGAATTCAGTGTCAGTACTGGTCTGGAATTCTGAATTAATCCCTAAAAGTGACAACAGCACAGGTGAATTTTGCCCTTGTGACTTTTCTTAACATAATCGAGGTCTAATTATATCCTCAGTTAACGAGGTGATAAATGGAAGAAAATAATTTCTTAAAATTCTCATACAGTAGCAGTTACGTCTGAGAAGAATATTGAAAGTCTGGACTTTTAATGATTCTTAAATTTACATCTTCTTACATTACAAGGAAAAATAATCATTGTAAAAAAATGAAGGGCTGTAGGAGAGAGGTGTCAGGATTCAAAACTTCCTGCCTCGTTTTTTCTCTCATGAAATATTTAGTAAATATGCAGTGTGGATATAGCTGGATGTGATTATTCCTTAATTTCAAGACATCTGTTGGCCTTATTTTGAGAACAGAGGAAACCCTTCTGTGTTCTTTTTAGAGTAGAAAGGATAATGTATTTTTATCAGTGGATTCTTAAGTGCATTGTTTTCCTTCTTGCCAGTGAGTACCCAGCTCAGCGCTCGAAGAAGGATTCTGAAGGAGCCGAGATGGGGGTGGCAGGTTCAGTCAGCCTCTTGCAGAATGTCACTCTGTCAACGCAGCCAATTTCTAGCCTAGACTGGAGCCCTGACAAAAAGGGACTGTGTGTTTGTGGTGCCTTTGACCAAACTGTGAGGGTGCTGATAGTTACAAAGCTTAACAAAGTTTGACAGGAAAACTAGAATTCCTGAGGAGAAAGCAATACAGTTTGCAGTCTGTAAATAAGAGAGGGAGAGCCCTCTTGTTTCTGATTTAATTTCTCCCTTATTAAAACTGGATTAAAGAAATAGAAAACAGATCTTTCTATTGAAAGTTCAGACACATGCAGTTAGAGTTGTTTGATTGTGCTGCAATGACTTGACGTTGCCTGGGCACAAAACCTTTACCTTGTAGAAATGTGAATTTACATTTAAAATGAAATGTGCCTTTGTGTTAATGCAACTTGTAACTTCAGAAATCACTTTAAATTGTTTGTGTGCAGTTTAATCACAGTGCAAATCCGCTCACACTTGTTAAATGGTTTGGCTTTTTTATATATAGTATTGTCCATATGCATTCATGCAATGCAAACTACCTGATACTCCCTCACAGAAACTTTGTGTTCTTGGATATATGATTGAGAATGTTTGTTAAAATGATTTAGGGTTCTTTAATACACTATAGAAGCTATACTGAGTGCTGAAATATTCAGGCTTAATGGAATAAGCTTTTGATTGAAGATCATATTGAAATTAAACTATTGAGCAAAATGCACTGTTTTATTATTTTAGTTTGGTTTTGTAACAAGTTTTTATGTTTTTGTTTTTATATGTGTCTGTAACTTGGTGTTCTACAAGTAAAATTATATGGAGTGTTGTCTTAATATGAACAAAGTATATTTTTCAAACCTCTAGCGATTTAGAGAAGGAAGGTACTTGTATAGGTTTACAAGAACAGTGTGCAGTGCTTAGATAAAACATAACTCATTTTGCTACAAAAGTATTAAAACTTACCTCTGTTGTGAAAAACAGGTAGCCAAAGTACTGTCTCTCTTTTTTTTTTTTAACAGATTCAGTATTTCTTCAAAACTCAATGTGACAAAGTAGCTTTGTTACTGTAGTTTCACCTGAACTTCTCTTTGTGATTCCCCTTATCTCCAGTGTTTTTCTTTTCTGATTTTACCAGTGTGTGCTGCTGCCAGATCTCTTTAGCAGGCACATCCAGTTACTGTCCCCTATTTGTGGATGTGTGGTGGGGGCTTTCTTAATTTCAGTAAGCTCTAACGATTTCATTTATCACCCCTTTGTCCGATATTAGCTTTCAGCTGACTTGTATGTGCATATGCAAGTTTTAGGTAAAAGTATTTAACAATTTCTGAAAACAGATTATGATAGAAAAATGTCAGCTTTTTCCTGGTTAATGACCAAGAAGCCCCTGTGTGGCCATTTGCAAAGAATCTCTGTTTTCTTAGGCTTGAGAATGAGGAATTGGTATTTGACAAATTCAGGTGAGTCACCTGCACTGCATCAAGCCTGACCTTCCAGAGGCTGCTCCTGAAAACTAGAGGCTGCTCTGTAGAGAGAGAGGAGCCAGGGCCTTATATCTGTACTGGTCCTGCCACCAACTGGTGCCCAAGCAAGATGCAGGTGGAAGAGGAAACAGCCAAACACTGAAGGTTAAGGTAGGGGAAGTGGCAAATGGGGGAAGCAGTGTGGAAGCCAGTAGAATGGGAAGCTGGGTTGAAAGGGGAGGTGAGAAGCTGTAGCAGAAGGGCAACACTAAGGCTGCAAACCTGGCACTTTGTGATGTCCTCAGGCTCAGACTTTTTCTCTGATCTAAGATTCCAGCTAAATAGAAGTGAGAGAGAACTCATTAGCTCCTGGGTATGTTAATTGATTAAACCAGCTGAGGAAAAAGAGAGCAGGCACCTGTGGCTAGAAGAGGCTCACAGGCTGTTACAGCTTAAATGTTGTGGAGTGGAGAAATCATTAATGCTTTTGTAGCAGAGAGGGGCCAGCAGGAAAATTGCAACAGACCACACACCCAGTGTGTCTGTGGAAGTCCATGGTTTTACTAGGTCAGCAATCTTCAGCTCTAGCCTGCCTTCAAATTTAGTCTCTCCTATCGTGTGTTCAGCAAGGGCCAGCAGGGATGAAAGCACAGTAACTCAGAGTAACAGGCTGGGAGGTATCTGAAACTGTAACATAAGTTTATTTCCAGTAGAGCAGCCCTTGGGTTTGACCAGTGGAATCCACCCCCCTGTGAAGGAGGTGTCTTGCTCCATGGCTTGGGACACGGAAGGTGCCCCAGCATAGCCAGAACACGGGGATGTCCTGGCGAGGAAGGTTCCCAGTGCTGTGGGCTGCCACCAGAGCTGTGAAGGCTCAGCCCGGCATTTCAAGATCCCTGAGCATGGGCTAACGAGGTCTGTCCATATGTCAAAAACGTGCTGTGCTAACCTCTGGTGCAGGTGTACATGCAGGTTTCACCCTGGCTTGGCAAGCAAATGGCAGGTTGTGTAGCATGTTAATGTGCATAGGTCTGTCTTCCCTAAGACTTGATGGTTTGCTTTCAAGTGTAATATTTAGTATATGATTTTTTTTGACACAATCCCATCTGCTTGTGTGCATAGCGTAATGCTGAGAACATTAAAATTTTAATGCTGAGTGTGTTAAAATCTGAAATTATTTTAAATTTTGTCCCTCTTAGGGTGCATCCCAGCAGGAGGGAATAGGGGGAACTACTGCTCTGCAGCTTGCTTTGAAAAGCTGGGGGTGTAGAGTTCAAAGAATCAATTCAAGTGCTTTGAGCCTAAAATGCACTGTTCAGAGATGGCCTCCATTAGCTTTGTGCTGCAAATAAAACATACTGACTGAAAGGTATGCTAGGCAGTGGAAATTGGTAGAAATACGTTTTCTCTCTTTAATAGCAATTCTGAATCAAGCTGAGAGTGAGGGAAGAAAAAGCTCTCGGTGTAGGTACCTGTGAGGGAAAACAAAGAATTTGGAGTGCAGGACTGGGCTCTTGGTGGTCTTTATTATGTACTTGGCATGCAGCAAAACTGTCCCTTCCTTATACCAACAACTCCAGGGAGAGCTCCTAGTGAGCCTACGTGATGGTGATACAAATTAGAGCAAGAACTAATAACACTTCTTAAAGCACCATGGGCCTCCAAAAGATGAAATGAGTGTTACCTCCAGGTATTTAATTTTGGGATTCATTTTATCTATTGTTTTGAAAATGAAGGAATGCATTTCCTTCATGAGTAGCTGGTTTCATGAAAATACACGATGGTTCGCATGGCAAGAGTTTGCAAAAAGACCTGGAGGGAAGTATAGATGAATGGTAGTGCTGTCCTTGCTCAGGAAAGGAAGTGGCTGTATCTGTGTACCTAAAAAATGAAAGATAGTTACTGGCTGGGAAGAAGAGCTGCTGCTAGTGCCTGTACTGTGCTGTATCTCCTCAACAGATTGGATTTCTGCTTCTCCCAGGCTGAACAAGAAACTTGAGCAGACCAAAAGCTGCCCGTGGCAGCCTAGCCTGCTCTATTTATAGTCCTTCCCCCTCTTGCTGAAGACTGGCACCTTGCCTCTGCAGCCTGGAGGCTGAAGAACTAAAGTGTGTTCTAAATAAAATCATAATGCATCAGAGATGAAATGCACAGGGCCAAATCCCCTCTGATGCAGCACCGAGGAGCACTCTGGAAAACCCCTGCCGTGCCCAGGACCAGGGAATGCTACCGGGTTTGATGGCTCCACCATGAGTGACCACATTTAACAAGTGTATCTGCTTGGCAGTTATCTCGTTTCCTGCGCAAACTACCCCTGTATGCTCATGGAAGAGAAAAATCTGTTTATGGGCATGGTTGCAGCCAGAATATAGGTACGTGTTACACAGTTGGGTGGTTTTGGTTTTGGTTTTTTTTTTACCAGGTGTTGCCCATATCCCCAGCTATTACAAATCAGGGTTTTTTCTTTCATATTAATACAGTTACTTTGACTTTCATCATTCGCACAGGTCGTTGAAGATTACAGACCTCCAAGGTTTCTGTGCAGGTAGCCTATATTTGGCCTATGGCATATATAGTTTTCATCAAACACACACAAAAAAATATTTACAGCTTAGCCATGACTTGGATTGAATTTTAAGCAAAGTAAGGCAAGCTGTAACTGTATGGGAAGCTATAATACAGTGTGCTGTCAACAACACCTATTGTCTCTGATTTTTTAAAGTTCAGCTGTGATATAGAAGGTATTCAAAACCAGAACTGGCAACAAAAGAGCCACGACAGAAGAAAGGATTGAGGAAAAAGTTCAGTAGTGTGCCAGCATTTGAGAATTTACCCAATGAAGTTAGGAACAGCTGATATATGAACTGTATTACTTATTGCTTGTGCTAAGATGGCAACTGTAACTCTGAAGAGCAGAGCTGAAGCAGGGAATAAATGGCAAACCTGTGCTGTTAGGGACATCATGGACAGAAGGAAGATGGGGAATTGTGTGGGGAAAAAAAGACACCTGTCCTCCAGTGATAGCTTCAGACACAGCAGATACAGCTTGCCAATGCAGTTCAGTTCATCTTCCCTAAGTTATTGCCATCAAATATACACAATAGCAAATAGGGATTATTTGGCTAAGCTGATTGATTTATAAGCATGAAGCTACTCACTTGTGGCCTGCATATTCATCACTGTAATAAAGTTGTCTAACTGTAAAGTCAGTATCGATGAACTGCCAGAAAATATGTTGATTTACTACTTTTTTTCAGTTATTAAGCCTGCATTTTCTTGCTCCTGATGCTGTTGGTGCTGATTTTTCAGTAGTAGGCACTCTGCATGGAAAACCTGCCCACTCTACAAAGAATCTCCAGATCAGTCTGTATGTCTAGAGCATGCATGCAAGATATTTTGCAGTAGCCAACGCAAGTCCTGCTGTTTTAGGCAAGGGCAGCTGTTAACTCAGGCAGGAGCTGAGCGCAGAATCCTTTTGTGTGCAGTGTAAAGCATGGCTATGGGTCTGCCTGTGGCCATGCAGGTTCAGCCCAGAGGGGAGACCAGATGGTATTTCTATGGAACTGGGCCAGAGCTATTTGGTGACTTGGTGTTGTTCTAGCCTTGGCTATAAAAGATTTTCATTCCTTGCTGGCCTTTTTGGGAGGACCTGCTTCTCGCCGCACAGCCTGTTCTTGCAGTGGCACAGCATTGTCCACAGAGGACACTGGAAGTGGGTCAGTGTTGCTTGGCAGCTGCATGAATATCTATGGTCTCAAGGGCAATGAGTAGCTGCCCTGTGCCCTGGCCTTCTTCCTCCTCAGCCACCAATAAGGCAATTGCAAGTGAAGAGGCAGAGAAGTTTTGCAGGACCCTGCAGCAAAGGGGATCACAGCACAGTATCTCTTCCCTATAATACTCTTCAGTGTTGTATTCTGAACTAGTTGATCTGGGCCAGCTAGCAACTGCCCCAATGAGTTGCTGGTGCAATTCAAGACCGTAGCATGAGCAGGAGCCTGCATGTGGCAGCCCTGCTTTGGAGACCAGCTCAATGTAACAGTATGGTCACAAGCTCTGCCAATTGGTTTCTGAGCCAAAGAACAAGCCTGTCACTGTTCAGCTTAGTAGTACAGCTACAGCCTCCGGGACAGATGTGTCTGTTCCAGTTTTCTCTACTTGCAAGAGATCTTCTTCCCTCCTGCCTGTACTCCCTGCCTCCACAATCTTAGTAAATCTTTAATCACCATCTCCCTATCTGCGGATGTGCAGAGAGCACTGAGCTGCAGAACCAAGTGGAGGCACCTGTAAGTTCCCTCCTCTACTGAGCTTGGCAGTAAAAACAGCCTCTGCAGAATGCACAAACTGGGGTTCCCGTCTCAGACCAATGGCTTCTTCCTCTCTTGTCAATGTGTAAGAGGCCACCCAAGGTTGCCAGCCTCTCAGGATATTTCCTAATCAGAACATTACACCCTGACCTTAAGCGTAGCAGTGAAGCTGTTTTTCATCACTACAAAAAGCCCCTCAGCAACATAAATAAAACAAGCACAGGCAAGCTCTCCTAAGTTGCTTGGGATTTTAAGGTTATGAAACATTTAAGATATTCTCTGAAACTAGAGGAGGCGTGGGTTGCAGAATGGCAGTAAAGCCCACAGAACTGCAGAGCGATCAAGACCTGATGGGACCTTTTTGTCTGGCAGTGATTCATCAATAGCAGCTCAGCCTGTTTACCAGATTGCATTGTATCAGTTGCCTGCTGTTTGACTGACATGTACAGTCTTGCAGGTGAAACTACTCTTTCTGTCAAGTAAATTACTGGTTAAGTCCCAGCTGCTTCCAGTTCCTTCTTGTACAGGAGGAGGCTGCTTACATTAAAATTCACCACTGGCAAAATTCATGTTTCATAAAATATCAAGGACCTGATTTTTTGTGTGAACGTCTCCATCAGCACAGAAATGCTACTTTGTCCTCACTTGCCACAGATGTGAATGACTACATGTGGTGCAAAGCCTAAGTTGTTCTTATTTCTGGATTTGCTGGGAGGTCTAAGGGAGCTGCACCTTCTTGCCCCTTCCTCTGTGCCACAGAGCATAATGGAACCGTGCACCTCTTCTCCTGCAGTTGTAGCTGTTTCTGGCTCTGATTATGCTGGGATGTTGCTCCAGCCCGTCCTGCATCTGTCTGCCAGAAATAATCCAACACTACCCATGTCTTCTGTGTACTAAAGGCTTTTCCCCCCTGCTCTTTTCATCTTTTGTTTATTGTTTAAGATTTCTGAGACAATCTTCTTATCAGTTATTTCCAGCTTGGAGCACCGTGAGGCTTAGGTTTCTAGGCAGCGCTGCAGCAACAATGAAAAATGACAATAAAAGGTAAGTGCAGCTAATGAAATCTGTTGAGTTCAGTTGCATCCCATGCTAAACCTTTCATTTTCTGAATCATCAATCCTCCTGCAGGGATGACAGAATCTCTCCTTCGTGTTTCTTTCTGGTGTAGCTCTACTGGGGAGGACTTTGTGGCCTGCTTAGCAGATGTCGGGGACAGACCTTTCCCGCTGCCTTGCAGAAGCGCGCAATGGCACAGGCTTGTGGCATCTTCATATCCGGCAACATTTTCCCTTCCTGACATTCACATTCCCTTCCTCCCACATCCTGCTGTTGCAGAGTGTATGAGAAACATAAGAGCAGCCACACTGGGATAGACCAAAGAGCCTTCCAATCCTGTATCCTGCCTCCTCAGGGGTCACATGCAGATAAATAAGTATAAAAAACCCCTTTAAAATGACAATCACAATTTGGGTCCTAAGTTTAATCTACTCCTAAGGTTGTCCTAGGCTTCCTTCTAAAATGAAGTTGTGATATGAAATATATGGTTCTATGGAATTTATGCACAGAAGCTAACAAGTGAGAAGGGTGGAATGCTAACGCACTTAGAAATAAACCTCAATTTCTAATACAATTTACTTCCATAATCTTAGTGAGAGAGACAGCTATAAAAAATTACAGCTTTACATACTAATTGGAAGAAATGCAATCTTAGAACAATATCAGAACAAATACTCTGCACATGGTAGATTGCTTTCAATTTATTTCTACAGTTTCCATATATAAATGCATATAACCTAATAGATATATCTACATTCAGCGAATAAAGCTTTGTATGTAAGTAACCAGATATAGTACCCAGCACCACATCCTGTCATTTAATCTAGTTGGCATGAACACAAGCTCTTTTGATCTGTACTAACTATCTTTATCTCAGTGTAGATCTCATCCCCCTTATCTGTTATGTTAAAAAAGCTTTAATCAGAGGGTTTAAGCTGGTCTTATTGAATTATACTGTTTTTCCTCCCTAAACCAAAGCTACATCAGGCTCAGTTTCCTTCTTTCCATGTACTTTTACATCTGTATTTTGATTAGAAATGTTATGTTTTCAAAAGGGAAAAAGAGTCTGTGTTTAGTAGGTTTAAAGTCATTCTAATTTAATTTGAGTGCAGAAAAAAAAAAAAGACATTTCCAGTGCGTTTTAGCTGAAAGGTGAGTCTAAGTTCACCTGGGTTTAGGCTGCCACATACGCTGTCCCCAACTCCAGCAAACTGTATAAATATGGAAAATTCTGGTGGTTACTGTTCTTTTCCACTGTCCTAAGTGCTACTGCTACAGTTTTTTTTAGCTCCTGAAGATGTGAGACATCCCTGTGGGTTAGCCTCAAGACTCTGTTCCCTTTCTTACCCTATCCAGTGGCTGGGGCACAAACCTGGCAGCCAGATAGCTTGCGGTCTCCTCCCGGCCTCACCATCTGCCTTGCAATAAATCACTGTGAACTCCCTACTCCTGCCCTGCCTCTCTGCTCCCTGCACATATCTGGTCTCTGCAGAATACAGGCAGACACATAAGTTACCATAAACATGCCATTGATCCAGGCAGCTGGCTGTAACTGTCCTTTTGCAAGTATCTGTCTTCTGATATGCCAGAGGAAACATCAGGTACTTGCCCCTCTTCCTTTGCAGGCAGGTACTGGTGAGCAGATGGATGCTCATGTTTCAGCTTACTTCTGCTACATCCTCTTCTGGTAACTTGCTGGTCTGCCCACACATGAGATTGCAAATTCATTAAATTACATTGCAAAGAAACAGGCCTCACAATCACAAAATGCTTATCCCAGAAATGCCTAATGTGGCTGAGGCCCTTCAGTCACAAGCGAACTACACACACTAACATCTCCCAAACTGGTCTGCTCGCTCTGACCTGGGATTTGAAAAGGTACTGTCTCATACTCCGCTTTGTAATGGCTTTGGCCATAACTTGACTTTAGACATGCTAGATCAGGAACCGTCGTGAAATGGTCTGCAGCTCACGTTACCCAGGTGCAGACTAACTCACTCTTGAAATAGTTTAAAATGTAAAGTTGTATAAGCTT